CTCTATTTTCTTGAGTAATAATAAACAGCCCATTCGACCCAACGGCATGGATCTTAGATTAGTGCCGTGCACTTTTTGTAAATGACGTGTTTGAAATTTTAGTGTGCAAATTGTATTTTAAATTTTCATTTCTTGTCCTATACAAACAAAAGCTATACTTTTGGAACTCTCTATTTTCTTGAGTAATAATAAACAGCCCATTCCATCCAACGGCATGAATCTTGGGTTAAGATCGTTTGCTTTCTGTAGGTGACGTGTTCAAATCATACAGATTTCCTTTCTCATTCTCTCACTTAAAAAGAGTAATAATAATAAGAGTTTACATGTCTTAATTGCTTTATTAGTTTTTTTTTTTTTTTGATCAGCATTGCCTTATTAGTTGTTATTTCTTTTTTTAATTTCTTTTTAATTTTAACTCTAATCTAATGGTTGGTATTATTATTTTGTTATCTATAATATTTTTGTACTTTATAATTGTATTTTCTATAGTTTGATATATTGATTTTTTACCTAATCAAATATATTTAAGATAATATTAAAAATCAATTAATCCAACTGAATTACATTAATCTGATAAAAATTGATTAGTTTAATTATGATATAATAATAAATTAGATTAATTTGATTATAAAGATGTTAAAGTCCGATCAGTCCACATTACGAACGCACCTAGTACCAAGCCTTGTAGCTGCTGCCTCCCTGGCCTAAGCATGGAAAAACCCCTAGAATCCTATGGCCCCATTCGTTATAATATGATCGGATCGACACCCTCCCCTAATGCCATCAAGATAGACCACCACCAAAACGATTGCCCAACCAAAAATGCTTCTCTCCTGACAACAAACCCACGCCTACCAGTTGCCAGCCAAACCCACTCGCCATGTTCATTAACCAAAAAACGAGAAGCACACAGTGTCGATAATATTACTGCAATCATGAACACACTACTCGGAGTCTCGTACTGTAACGCAACATCGTAGTGCCACTAGGCCCTGACGACGCGACAAACCCCTAACCGATGACAGCCTTCCACAAAAGACCACGCTCGCAACCAAATTGGTCGAAAATTCATGTTACATGGTCTACTATCTAATGTACTAAAAAAAAAAAAAAAGAAAACTATTGTCATTTTATTTTTTCATTTGTTACTCTTTTCCACCTCATAATTATAGTATTTTTTTTCTTTCACTATTTTTTCAGATTAACAATTTAAAGACAATGATGTTTTTATTTGTATTGCCCTTGAATTAATAAATGAAAAATAATTTAAAGATAATTTTTTACATTATTTTTTAATATAATTTTACATGTTAGTTAAATAATTAATTATTTTTATTTATTTGAGATTTTTTATATTAAATACATTCATTTATTGAATGACATATAAATATTATATAAAATATTATAAAAAAATTATCACTATATTGCTTAAATAAATAAAGATTAAAAAATTAGTGATGGGAATTATAATTATAATTAAAAATTGAGAAAAGATAAAATCAAAACACATTTTGTAGAGTTAAAGTCTATATTATATCTTACATATTTTGTTGTAATTAAATGTTTTGACATTTATAGTTTTTTCTTTTCTCTTAAAAACTAACAATGTAATAATAGAATATTATATAAAATTTTCTCTTAAAATATAAAAAATTAGCAATTAACATGATACAAATTTTAAATAAAATATGATTATTATTGTAAGATAGAATATTTTGAATAACTATTGTAATCATTTGCAAAGTAACTTAAATAATTATTAATTGTGTTATATTTTCATTTAGAATTTTTATTTTAAAAATTAAAAAGTCAAATTAACTCAAAAAGAATAATTTTGAGTTGGAGGGAAATGATAAAAGAAAAAAGATTAAATGAAGAATAAACTTAACCAATCATCAAAAAAAATATATAGAAGAGGAAAAAAACAAAACCAAATTAGCTGTTTGGTTAGTTTAAAAAGTAAAGAATACAATCAAATAATCCGGCGCTGCAAACTGTGGATTTTGTACAAAACAACGCCAAAATCACCGAAAATCATTTGGTCCACTGGAAAACTGCTGCACCGAGCAAGCCACCACCTGTGCCCATTGCCTCAGCCTCATCTTCACCACCTTTGGATCATCACCTATTACCAAAAAAATTCAATCAATCAGTCCATCGAACGGCTGAAACGAACCGATCACGAATCAGATTTCGAGATCCATTAAAATTACCTTGTTCGAAAATTGTGCTGGTGCTGCTTCCGGACTCGCAGCCAATCGAAGACAATGAAGAAGATCTCGACAATCTGCCGGTGAATTGGCGATTGACGGCCCAGTAAAACTCCAGAGCCGGTAAAGTGTTGGATAATCTCGGTTCGAGATTGGGCGAATCAGGGGCAAAACCGAATCCAAGATCGATACAGCCTTTCAGCTCCTCCATATCGTCGTCGGTTACTGTTGGGATTAGGCCCAACGCCCACTCTGGGCCGCATATTGCAGGCCCAACTATGCGCCAACAATCCAAGAAGAGGAGACATACCCACGTGGGCAGCATCACGTGGGCCAATGAGACACTCACACGTATAGATGTATGTCAGCATTTAGAGCTATAAATACCCCCCAACTACCTCAGATGAAGGTAATTAATCTCTACGCTTCTCTCTCTGCAATTACTCTTTGAGAGCGTATCTCTCTAGAACACCAAGTATTGCTGACTTGAGCGTCAGAGTGTTTTCCCCGAGGAAACAACCTCAGGATTTTCAGGTGTAGAAGCAGTTGAGGACTTCAACAGTGTTGGACTGCGAAGCTGCCCAAACATTTGGCGTCGTCTGTGGGAATCTGAACAAGAAGTTGCATAGCTTAACCTGCCGAAAGACAAAATGGTTCACACTTTTACAGGAGGTCGCCCTCCAAGAAATGAAACGGACGAACAGGAGGATGGTCAACTACCTGAACCCGGTTTAAGCGAGTTTAGGCCAATGCCCAGAAACCTTTTCGTTGGGGGAGCAGAACAGGATCACCTAAGCAAAACGGATGATGAAGAAAGAACACCAACTGGGTATACAACCCAACCTGAACAGTTTCAAGTTCCAACAAGAACAAGGCCAAGACCTTCTAGACCATACAATTCACAGCATGAACGACCTGAGAGGTCAACAGAGCCTGCTCGGACTATCGAGCTCGAAGAGAGAACTAGAATTCTCAAAATGGCAATGGGTAAAATCCTTGCCCGCCTGATCCCTGACGACCCCCTGATTCCTTTGTTGGACAGAGATGCACAACCAGCTGCGGTTGTTGCAACTCGAAACTCCCCCGCTCTAAGCAACATAGTAGTACTGACCAGGCCAAGGGGAAGTGGGAAGCTGAATATCGAGCCCAGCTCGTCCAAACACAGTGAAGAACTGATGAAAAAGAACGCAGACCTTGAAAGACAGTTACAAGACGTGCAAAAGTCCATTGACGAGCTGAAAAGTCCCAGGTCGCATCAACAAACTTTGGATTTGGATAGTGCTCCACTAAACTTATCCATCACAGCAGAACCATATCAAGAGGGGTTCAAAATCCCCCACTTAGAGACGTATGATGGCTCAGGTGACCCAGATGAACATTTACACACCTATCAGGCCATCATGAGAATCCAAAATGCTAACGATGCCATGATGTGCAAAGTGTTCCCGGCAACCCTAAAGTCAACAGCCAGAAGATGGTACCATAAACTCCTTAGACACTCTATAGATTCATACTCCCAGCTCGCCAAGCTGTTCTCCAACAAATTCGCGAGCCAAAGGGAGATTAAACGCACGGCGACCGAGCTGATGCAAGTTCACCAGAAAAAAGGGGGAATCTTTGAGGGACTACATGCAGCGATTTAACAAAGCTACTTTAGATATCGATAACGTCCCTGATACCATCTGCTTGTCTGCCCTGCTGCACGGTCTGAAACGTGGCAGGTTCCTAGATGACTTACTGGAAAATCCACCAAAGACGTGGAACGAAGTCAATGACAGGTCAGCTAGCTTCATACTGTCAGAGGACTTTCAGTCGTCGAAGCGACGAGCTGATGACAAACAGAGTAAAGGCCAGGAATAGCTACCAAGAAGAGAGGATAAGAAAAAGTAGAAAGTCAATGAGCCGTGGGGGAAGCCAGCTGAATTCCCAAAATATGCTAACTACGTCCCTCTGACCTTGCCAAGGTCTCAAATTCTGGCACAAATCCAGCACTGGATTAGAAGGCCCCTACCCCCGTTGCATGATTCTCTGAGAGCAGACAAGAGCAAACATTGTGATTATCATCGTGTATACGGTCACAACACAGAAGACTGCCAACACTTAAAGGACGAGCTGGAGTTCTTAGCTCGCACTGGGAAATTAGAGGGGTATATCCAGAAGCCTCACACCCAGCAAACAGCTCAAACCCACTTCGTGCAGGGCTATGACCGATCTCAGGGGCAGAGGTACCAGCTCGGCAACACGCAGGACATGTATCAAGATAATCAATATCTTTCCGAGAAGGGTAGAGCGTACAGGGGCCGCCAATTCAATAGGCGAGGCCAGGGTCAGAGACCAGCCGCCCAGAGCCTAAAGGACAGAAAAGGAGTTGGCTGTAGCGCGATACCCCTGCCGTCTGGTACAATCAATATGATCTCTGGCGGTATGCACTCAGGGGGCCAAAGCACCTGGGCCCGCAAGGCATACGCCCGACAGGTGATGACCGTCAATAAAAACCGGCCTTTGAAGCGGCCGTTCGAGGAGGCTGAATGGGAGAATGCAGCTATCACATTCAGCTCGGTAGACTATAAGCGAGCAGAAGGAGAACCCGACGTTGTAATGCCTCATGCAGATCCATTTGTAGCAACGGTCCATATAGGCAATCATAACGTCAACAAGGTCTTTATTGATACGGGTAGCTTGCCAGACATCCTTTATTGGAGCTGCTTCCAGAAGATGCAGTTGAACCCGAACTCGCTGCAGAAGTATGAAGGACCCATATACGGGTTCAACAATTAGCCCGTTCCTATTGAAGGGGTCATTACCCTACCCATCTATGTGGGCACAGAACCACACTTTAGGATGGCTTCCGTTAGCTTTCTTGTGGTCAAGATGGAGTCAGCTTTTAACGCCATATTAGGAAGGGCTACTCTGTGCGAACTGAAAGCTGTTATATCACAACCCCATCTCTGCATGAAGTTCCCAACGCCTCAGGGGGTAGGGGTGCTAAAGGGAAACTAGAAGATGGCCAGGGCATGTTATCAAGACACATTTAAGAAGGTTGAGCTCGCCGTAGCCCCAAGAGGCTCCTCTAAAAATAGTAGGCCAGCTCAGCCCGGTCAATAGACAATGAGCATAGCGGACATTGAGCATAGACCTGAGGGCGTCGAACAGAAGGCAGAACCAGTGGAGCCAGTAGAAACAGTCCCTTTAGACCCTGACGTGCCAGAAAGGACGGTTAAGATCGGTACCAAGCTCACAAAAGCAGAACGGGCAGAGCTTCTAGAGTTTTTAAGGGTCAATTAGGACGTGTTTGCGTGGACTACAGATGAAATGCCTGGCATTCCAGCAGAGTTGACGGTCCACAAACTCAGCACGGACCCCACTAAACGGCCGGTAGTTCAGAAACGTTGCCTTTTTGGCCTAGAGAAACAAGCTGCCATAGACGAGGAGATACAAAAGCTGCTACAGGCAGGCTTTATCAGGAGAGTGGAGTACTCTGAGTGGGTATCTAACCCCGTGCTCGTCAAAAAGCCAAATGGCAAGTGGAGGATGTGTATTGACTTCACCAACCTCAATGATGCATGTCCAAAAGACCCTCATCCCTTGCCAAATGTGGAGAAGTTGGTAGAGCGGGCAGCCGAACACGAACGGATGAGTTTCCTTGACGCCAACTCAGGTTATCATCAGGTTCAATTGCTGTTGGACGACCAGGAGAAAACAGCTTTCTACGCTGGTGATGCTATCTATTACTATGTGATGATGCCATTTGGCTTGAAAAATGCTGGCGCTACATATCAGAAGCTGGTACAAATCATCTTTAAGCTCCAGATCGGCAGAAACATAGAAGTGTATGTGGATGACATGATAGTCACCAGCGTGTGAGCTGAGGACCATATAGACGACTTGAGTGAGACCTTTCAAAATTTGCGCCGAGCTCAAATGAAGCTGAATCCCCTGAAGTGCATGTTCGCTGTAGAATCAGGAAAATTCCTAGGGTACGTGGTATCCAAGAAAGGAATTGAAGTGAACCCAGAGAAGGTTCTGGCTGTTCAGCAAATGGAGCCTCCCAAGACTGTAAAGGATGTGCAGCGACTGACAGGTCGTGTAGCCGCGTTGCACAGATTCATAGCCAGGTCGGCGGAAAGGTGCCTACCGTTTTTCAAGGCCTTACGAGAGCCCAAGCACTTTCAATGGACAGACGAATGTCAGCGGGCATTTGACGAGCTCAAGCAGTATTTGACATCTGCACCCCTACTATCCAAGCCTGTGGAAGGGGAGAGCTTATACCTATACATGGGGGTTACAGGAGAGGCAGTGAGCTCAGTACTGCTCAGGGAAGAGAATAAGAATCAGAAGCCTATCTGCTATGTGAGCAAGGTTTTACAAGGCGCAGAGCAAAACTACCCGTTAGCAAAAAAGGCTGCCTTTGCCCTGGTGTACACAGCTCGTAAGTTGAGGGCTTACTTCCAATCACATCAGATTGTTGTCTATACTGACTTGCCGTTGAGAAAAATACTGCAGAAACCTGAACTCTCTGGTCGGCTTATTGGATGGAGCGTCGAGTTGAGTGAATATGACCTTAAGTTTCAGCCACGCACAACCATTAAAGGCTAGGCCGTGGCGGACTTTCTAGTGGAGTGCATCTCAGCAACAAAGGAAGAAAAAGCACCTGAACACCCAGTCTGGGTTCTGTATGTTGATGGAGCAACTAACATTGAAGGATCGGGTGCTGGGGCTGTGTTAGTGGGCCCGGATGGCTTTAGGTCTGAGCACGCACTGAAGTTTAAGTTCCAGATGACCAATAACGCTGCAGAATATGAAGCCCTCATTTACGGACTAAAGCTGGCGGCCGAGCTGAAGGTACAAAGCATTCAGGTTTTCAGCGACTCTCAGCTCGTTGTGGGCCAGGTGAATGGCAGTTGTGAAATCAGGGATCCCCAGCTCGGTCGCTATGCCTCTGTGGTCAACAGATTAAAGTCAATATTTGTCCTTTTCCAAATTGATAAAATACCAAGAGCAGATAACCATCGAGCTGACAAGCTGTCAAAGTTGGCCTCCTCGCAAGACCTTAACCCTCAGAGATTGACAATTGTCGAGATACTCGACGCACCGAGCTACACTGATTCCACAGTCGAGTGTCAACTACTAAGCACAGATCCCTCTGCACCAAGCTGGACCACCCCGCTCATAAATTATCTGCAAAGTGGTGAGCTACCTGAAGATCCGTCTGCTGCCAAGTTGATTAAACGCAGGGCGGCCCATTTTACTTTAGTAGATAATCAGCTTTTCAAGCGGGCAGCCTCCATACCCCTATTACGCTGTCTCACTCCTTACGAAGCTGAATATGCTGTGAGGGAAGTTCACGAAGGAGTATGTGGCACGCATATAGGTGGTAGAACTTTAGCTCGGAAACTCCTAAGGCATGGGTATTATTGGCCAAACATGGTTGAGGACGCACAGAATTATGTCAAAAAGTGCCCGACCTGCCAGTTCAACTCTGATGATAATCACATGCTAGGTATCTGAGCTCGTTCTAAAGTTCATGCAAACTTAATGGTTGTCTATAAACTGAGCATAAGTACCTTTGTGGAAACAGGGGAAATGCTCTCCCCACTCTCATCCCCCTGGCCTTTTGCTCAATGGAGAGTCGACCTGCTCGGCCCTTTCGTCAAAGGCAAAGGAGGCTGCACTCACCTAGTTGTCGCTGTGGATTACTTCACTAAATGGATAGAAGCTAAATCATTGTCCACGACAACTGAGAAGAAAATAGAGGAATTCCTCTTCATTTCAATATTATGCAGGTATTATTTGCTGGCTTAAGCCATCGGTACGTCATATACAAGTATGATATGTGGCTCAGCTCGGTTACCCTTGTGCAGGTTTGGCATACCTAAACGAATCATCGCGGACAATGGTCCACAGTTCCGAGCCACAGCTCTGAGGTCGTTCTGTAACGATTATGGCATCGAGCTCGCTCTGACATCTGTGTACACTCCGCAGTCCAATGGACAAGCTGAATCCGCGAATAAAATCGTCTTGAGAGGCCTCAAGACGCGTGTTTTAAATGCACATTCCAATTGGGTTGACGAGCTCAATAAAGTGCTTTGGTCATGTCGTACTACACCTAACTCGGCCACAGGCGAAACTCCATTCAGCCTCGCGTACGGAGCTAAGGCTGTCATCCCCGTAGAGGTCGGATTGCCATCTGACAGAGCAGGTCGGCATAACGATCCCAGCAATGAACAACTCTTAAGAGAGAACCTGGACCTTGTGGAAGAGGTTAGGGAGATGTCTCGAATACGAAACATGGAATATCAGGGTCAGGTGGCAAAATTTTACAATAAAAGAGTACGAGCTTGTCAGTTTCAAGTTGGTGACCTAGTTTTACGCAAAGCTGGATTAACCAACACTTATTCACACATGGGCAAGCTCGCTCCTAATTGGGAAGGCCCATACATGGTTGTTCAAATTAACCAACCTAGGTCCTACATGTTAGCAGATACGAACGGGCGCCAATTACCGTTTACATGGAATGTTCAGAACCTTAGAAAATTTTACAGTTGATTTGTATTATTGTTGACTGTTTAGAGAATTTGAATAATGTATGAGCAATGATTGGAAATAATACACACAGTTTTCCAAAATTCATTTCAAATTGTATTTCTTGCAAATTAATTACATGAGGTATCAATGAAACTACAAAATGTGTGTCCAATAAGGAGATATTGAAAATACAAAAGCCTAAGCCTAGTCATCCGTTAAGTCCACTGGTACGGATGCGTCAGCACGAGCTGGGACAGAGATAGCAGCAGGGACGGGCTGAGGCGCAGGAGGAGTGCTTGAAGGCTCAGCTTCTTCTACGGGAGCGTCACCCACCCAGGCGTCGAACCTCGGCAGGTTCTCAAACTCCTCTCCTTCTTCCAGAATAGACGGTGGCCATATAGGCAATCCCTCTTCGTTTAGCTCCCAACGGAGCCTCACCGTCGTATCAGCAGGAGCTGCGAGGCTTTTCCCCTCTGCATCGAACTCTTCACCTTCAAAAAACGCGAGCTCATTGATTGGAAAGTCTGGACAGTGCTTCAACACTTTACCACGAACGTCATTGTAAATCTCAGTCGTGGTGTTCATGGACGCCACAGCTACAGCATCTTGGAACATGTCAGCACCTACCAGCCATTCCACGCCTTGAGCTCGCGCGATGCTAATGCACCGCTGGTGTTGAGCTTTGGCTTTCCTCAGTGACTCCTCCGCGCGCGCAAGGTCCTGGTCGGCCACAGCTACCCGCCTTCTTAGGGCGTTAAGGTCGCTCAGCGCGCCGTCTCTTTCAGCTTCAGCCTTCTTCGTGCGATCTACCGCACGAACGACCTCACCCATGGCCGCCTGAATCCCAGTCTCTTTCTCAGCCTTCGCCTTATCTAGCTCCTCTTGCAGCTGGTTGACCCTATTGGCCAGCTCGTCAGCCTGGCTCTCTGCTGAGGCAGCTCTGTTGGCCATCTCTGAGCTCTACAAGCGGTTCACCTCGTCCTCCAAGCTCGCTTTGTCTGAGGACAATCGCTTGTAGCTGTCAGCCAGCTCCCGGTTTTGTATACGAGCTGCCTGCTCGCTCTCAAATAACGCTACAGAGTAGCTTAGCGCCTGTAACAACACTTATATAGTCAATGGTTACCCCAAAGTTACAACAAAAACACGTTTGTCTAGTAGAATACTCACATCCATCATCTTCAACATAGCAGCGTGGCTCCCATGCTGCTGAATATAACCTTTGGCGCACTGATGGTCCACTGGTGGGACGAAGTTCTGCATACCCTGGACCATCGCGAGCTGGCAGTCAGGCTTAGTATAACTAAAACCCTCAGGGTATGCGATTCTGGGGCCCCCACTAACTGCTGGTGGGGGAAGCGCCTCAGTCGAGCTGCGCGTCTGAACCGTAGGAGCCTCAGGTGAGCGCATCGCTCCGGTTTGACTCCCGGTATTCAACCTGCACCGAGTTAGTGGTACATCATCCTTAGCATCGGAGTCTTCACGAGCGCGCTCTGGATATCAGCAGGAACGGTTTCTACTCTGTGCTCGACCTGTGGACGTGAGGCCGAGCTGGAGCCTTGCTGCCTCTGGAACGAGCTGCGAGGTGCCGTAGGGGGTAGCTCGTCAAAGCGTGTCTGCCTCCTGGCGCTGGACCCAGTCCCCCTACCACGTGAGCGTTGAGCTCATTCGCGTTGCCTCTCCAGCATGCTACTCATCTCTCCTGCACAAACACATGCAATAAGACTCAGCTCGTGGAAAAAGTAATTTACAACAGAATTGTACCTTCACTAAACAGGTTTGTGATATCCACAAACCCACGCAACGCGAGCAGCTCAGGGGTAACCAGGTCCTCCAAATCTACTAACCCCTCCCCCTTCACATAGTTGGTTATTCTGTCCTTAAGCTCTAGGTCGCCTGGGGTTAATGTGGGATAGTTCATGTACGCATGCCCTGAGCGCCACTCAGAGAGACGAGCTGCCAGGTCGGTACTAACCCTCTCTGTTTGCGTGTCCCGCACAAAGATAAATTGTCTCTTCCAACGAGACACCTTATTCCTCACGTTTTTAAAAATCCCCATTTTTTCCCGCCCAGAAATGTAGTACCACCTCGTCTGCGTGGTACTCAGCCAGCATAGAAAGAGCGACCTGAACACAATGGCTTTCGCAGGTATCTGCAACCTCGCGCACAACAGCATAAATCCTATTATAAATTTTATGTTGTTGGGGGTTAGTTGTGTCAGCGCCAGCTCGTACTCTGAGAGAAGATCAAAAAGCAGCCCGGGCAAAGGGAATCTCAGGCCGGCGTCGAAATGGTCCACATATACAGGTATCCACCCTGTTGCTGACACACTGCACGCTCTTTCATTTTTTGTGCCAGTTCGTAACAAAACTATCCTAGGAACGTGATACTGTCTAACCACTTCCTCTAGTCTCTTATACCCTCTAATGGAGGTAGAACAATCTGCTACCTCATGATGCAGGTTAGCCCTAAACCTAAAACCGGCTGTCAATGTATGTGGTGCTTTGCGAAGGTTGCTCAGCCTGCCACCTATGGTTTTATTTTCCCAACCCGTAACCGGGAGTACATTTACGGCCACCTCCATACTTTTCGGCAAGGGGCTACTTGCACTGACAGTGTCTTCTGATGACGACCCTTCAGATGACGGAGAGGGGTTAGCACCGGAGCCCTCGCGCGGGCCTGAACTGGCACTACTCTCCGGCGTAAGGGCTTCCGGCGAGTCCTGCAGTTCCGACGGTACAACCATCGTGATTGGTTCCACGGATATCACGCTCTCTTCCCCTTCTACGCCCTGGTTACCCCGGAGTTCTCTTACTTCTGTAACAGATTCCGTTTGTTATTACCTGAAAAATTGGTTGTGAAATTCCTTGAGAAGATCGCCTGAAAACTGTGAAGGTCCTTTGTTGCAGAAGAATACAGAGAATATGGAACTGGAAAATGGAAACAGAGATGACAGAGAGGTTAAGTGACCTTGCCTAGCATTACCGTACATGCCTCTCTGCCAACAAGTCAAAACGTTACGCGTGGCAAGCACTCATTGCTGGGCGTGTAACGTCCGCCGGCTTTAGCTGTCACGTCTCTTCAAATGCTGAGCCAACATTTATTAGGGGGGGATGGGGAATACTAACCGCTCTGAACCATATCTCTTTAAAGATTTCACAGGTTTAAATTTCGAAAAGTACCAAGGACCAGATCGTAACAAATCTCCTCAGAGATCTGTCCTAATTCAAAATTTGAAAAGTTCGAGAAATCTGCTCGTAACTAATCCATGACCTCTCCAGAGATTTCAAACTCAACCAGCTCGTAACGAGTCAAAGGTTCACCTCAGTCCCGAGCATCAAGCGTCAGATCGTAACTAACTTAATCAGATCCGCTTTGCATCCCACATATCTATATTGCAGTGATGGGTAGGGTCGCCCACCTCAGCCCGTATAGATCTTTGGGTTCAGCTCGTTCACTATATGCTAGCCATCACTTTCCTACAGAGAATCCATCAGGCAAGGTCGCCCTAGCGCACATGCTCAGCTCGCTGACCAACTTGAGCTCGCTTTACCTGAACGCCAACTTACTCATGCCTGCTCTGTAGAAGGTCAGCATAAACGTACACATTAGATTCGACCACCCTGGTTTCAAGCCGCTCAGATCGGCCGTGCCCGTGGTCGTTCGCAGACACAAAACATCACTCCTCCTCGGTACCAAACACCGCGTAAGCAAGCCTCTAGACCCAGTTCGTCAACCAAACGCTGAGGGGGGAGTAATGTTGGGATTAGGCCCAACACCCACTCTGGGCCACATATTGCAGGCCCAACTATGCGCCAACAGTCCCAAGAAGAGGAGACATACCCACATGGGCAGCACCACGTGGGCCAATGAGACACTCACACGTATAGATGTATGTCAGCATTTGGGGCTATAAATACCCCCCAACTACCTCGGATGAAGGTAATTAATCTCTACGCTTCTCTCTCTGCAATTACTCCTTGAGAGCGTCTCTCTCTAGAACACCGAGTATTGCTAACTTGAGCGTCGGAGTATTTTCCCCGAGAAAACAACCTCGGGATTTTCAGGTGTAGAAACAGCTAAGGACTTCAACAGTGTTGGACTGCGAAGCTGCCCAAACAGTTACGCTTTTGCTTCGTTTCAGTCCTTTCTTGTGGTTTCCCTTCCGCCTCAACCACGCCTCCTCACGCTCTACGTCCAGCGACCACGACATCTGCTTGTAAAGTGGTCGCAGTGGTGGCATTGGCGGTGGCGTCGCTTGTGTCTCCATCATGGCTCGCACACACCGCCGAGGGACGCCGATTGTCGATTTGTGAGATTGAGGAATCTATGGTGTTTGCCTGTATTATATACAGTGACCTTCTCATATTTTTCGCTGGCAGAGCCCCTTTTTTTTTAACAAAAATTAAATTTTTTTGGTGGTCACAGATTGGACTTGGACCCACGCAATTACATGCCGTTGTACGAATCACTTATAGCCAAAAAAAACAAAAAATCGAAGTTAGAATTAGAAGGAAGGTACGTTGTTAATGGATTACACAAAGGCTTTCGTAATTTTGTTTGGAGTGCACAAATGTATTTTTTAATTTTTAATTTGAATAATGGCAACCACTATCCCTTATTTCTTTACTCAATTTACTTGCATGGTACATGATTTAAATTTAAAATTTTTTAGTTTAGTAAAAGATTTTTATTAAATTATTTAAATTGTTAATTTTTAATTTTTAAAAAATGAGTTGTATCTTAAAACGTTATTTAAAAATAAAATCATATAGTATTTAAGTAATATTAAACGAATTAAATGTATACAAATTTTACAATCTAATAATAATTATCTATTGCATTGTAAGTCTTCATTGAAAGATAATATTCTAATTGAATTATGATTAAAGTGCATATTAATCCTAATTTTTCAAATAAATGAAAGTTTTAATTTTAAATTATATCAGTTTATTTAATTAAAATTTTATTCAAAATTTAAAATTTTATTTTCTAATATGATCAATTTTTAAATCTATATATTAACATTTAATATAATAGTCTTCTAAATTTTAAATCAAAATTCAATTTTCAAATGTAAATTAGAATTATATTTTTTAAAAACTTAAAATTGATACACACAAACCTTTGAAATTATTTTCTTCTAAAAAAATTGTTATACAAATATCAAATATGGATCTCTAAGTGAAAAGACATAATATTATAAATTTAAAATGATATGTGAAATTGTAACTGTATCATTTTTTTATATAAGGTAATGTTATAGTTATAATACCATTTAAAATTGTAAATTTATAATCATGAAGTGATATTCAATGAATGTAACATATTATAAAATAAGTGAATACATACAATATCACAAAAGAACTTCTTGATAAAAAGAACTAATTATATAATTATATATAATATTATAAGTTTACAATGACAACTAACAACTTAAATAACTTAGTGATAATCTCCTTTATTTAAAAGTAAAATGTCTTAAATTTGAACATGTAGTATACAGGTATAGTGAGGTAAAAGATGAAATAGGATTATCTTTCGTTATACAACCAATATAAAAGTTTGCAATGACATGTAATGTTATAATTATATGATTTTGATAAGAATAACACATATTAATTCTAATTTTTAAACGCACATCTTAAAATAAAATATTTTAAAAAATTAACCATTAAATTTAATATTTTATTCATGATAATTATACAAATCAATCTTCATACATATATATACGGGGTTAATACTGATCCCTCTTATCTCTAAAAAATTAATAAAAAAATTA